CAACTCTGCTTGCATCTCATGTGAGATGTGAACAGCAAGAAATTACAGCGTCTATACACCAATCGCACAGTTCCAATATACATAGTTGTGGCAGATCCAAGTGAAACCTATTACACGTCGTACAACATGCGTCAACTGCCACCGACATTGACCATCACTGACTTGGATACCGAACGGGCGGAGAACCGACAGAGAAATGCAAAGCTACAGAAAGACGAAGTAGAAGACTTCGGAGTGTCGTGCAGTGGCTACACGACCACTCAGCACTACGCGCCCAGTGCAATTAGTACGTAGACTAGTGCAAGAACTTATCAGCAACGGCCATGATAGAGAGAGCGAGCATCAGAGGGGCGGCGAGCAACCCAGGCAGAGCTACATAAGCTAGCACTGTAAACTAGATGATAGAAGGAAATGGGATTTTGACAGCGACAGCTAGAGAGCAAAGAGAAAACAGCAACAACGGGTTCACTGCGTGACCCGGAGCACTTGTGCTCATTTACCGTGTTCGTAGAGTAGCGCCTCACCATTCGCCTGCAATCCCCCAGTAGACCTTTCGTGCAAACACCTGTCGCACACGAAATCACATTGATTCCTACAGTAAAAGTACTGCGCAATTGGAACTGATCCAGTATATCAGTACTTTCGAAATATTTGTATGAATACGTCGTATTGTCAGGTCCACTAGATCTGTTTTCGATCGACTTTGTCATAACCTGAGCTGTAATGATTTACGAAAATTATCGGTCCAGTTCAAAAAAGGGCGGTCTTTTACAATAGGCTCTGGTCTTTCGGAAACATGTCAACATCGCACGCCCGCACAGCACCCCACCACACTAAAACCACACCAATCCACTCCCTCTCCCTCCTTGACCCCACACCTTTTCACAAGCGCCATAATATGGCATCTGTGACCCCCACGCAGGCTGCAAGAGCTCTACTCCTGCTCTCCGATGCCGCCCTGGAGCGCCGTGCAGACCTGGAGGAGTATGCGTCAGACTCTGACGCCGTCGATACGGACGATGAGGTGGAAAGTGAGTCCCCCATTTATGATCAGTTCTACGAAAAGGGGGGCGCTGCCGCCGTCATACAGATGACCAACTTCAGTCCGACAGAATTCCATTCCACTTGGTGCAGCCTGGAAAAGGCCATCAAAGAGAGGTACAATGCAGGGCGTGGACGCAAATGCTCCCATACTCCACGTGATGTCCTGTTTATGACACTCTCTGTATTAAAACATGGAGGCCAATGGGACTTCTTGGCCAAGATGTTCAGTTTGAAAGGTCCTACGTTTGAGCGAATGATTATGAAATTTGTAGACATAATCTCTTATCCGGTCTTCCATCACTATGTGGAATATCAAGGTAAGAAATGGAAAATGGCCGTCATGCAGAGCAAGAAAGTCGGGTTTAAAAACTACCCTGTTGCGCGTTATGCCACTGATGTGACATTCCAGCAAAGTTTCCGCCCGAGTGGCAGCGTGGAGGAAGGCAAGCTGTACTATAGCGGGAAACATAAATTGTATGGCTACAAGACTGAGGTCTCGGTATTGCCAAATGGCCTTGCTTTAGGTTGCAGCGCTCACGAGCCTGGGTCAGTGTCAGACTTAAAAATATTCGAGGCCATGCCACCCTTTCACTCGAAACAACTTCGCAAAGGTGCAGGGGAAGGTGAAAATGACATAGAGGATGATGGGCCCTTGTCGAATGAGTTCCCAAACTATTGGGCTGTACTGTGCGATAAAGGATACTATGGGGCTAAGGAGTTCTGTCGTGTGATCCATCCGACCAAAAAACCGATCAATGGAACACTTACGCAAGCCGAGGTTTCTAATAACAGGCACATTTCAAGCGATAGAATTATAGTGGAAAACTTTTTTGGAAGGCTTTGTGGTCTTTGGAATGTCATGGCAGCGAAGTGGAAATGGAGTGAGGCGGGTTATGACAGTATTTTTCGTTTATGTGTGGGACTGACAAACTTTCATTTACACAAGAATCCTCTACGCGCTGAGGACTCCAAAATTTTGAGGACGATGAAGAACCGCCGCTATCATATAGCAACATCTCAAATTCAAAAACGGCGCCAGGTGCAAAGGCGTTATCGCGAAAAGCGTCGTCGCCGAGTGGAGATGCAATTCAGATCCATCAACCACACAGATGAGTCCGACTAAAACTACATCTCGTGCGTGTCTCGGACGCTTCACTGATTGTGCGTGCAACTTGCCCTTTGCTCTCTTTCATAAACGTAGTGCGTAAACGCCGTAACCATGATCCCAGCACGCCTGAATGTCCACACGCGAAAACACAATCCCCTCTTTCGTCGTCCGGGTAGCACAACTCTCCAGGCCTGCCCCTTGGCCGTGCACTTCGCGGCCGCCGTCGCCTTGGTCCTGCAGATCCTGCAGCCGCGCTACGCCCGCGTCGTCTTCTTCCACCTCCGCCTTCTCGGCTCCCTTGCTGCCCTCTTGTGCACAGGCTTTTGTGTGCGCCGCCCAGGGCGCCGCCCTGCTTAGCGCCGCCTCCGCCGCCTGCAGGGGGCGTGCGATGCGCTCCGCGGTGACTGCGTCGCACGGGAAGGCCAGGTCTGCCCGCAGCGCAGCCAAGAGCTCCGCGGCGCGCTGTTGTACGTCCGCCGGGCCGGACGACGTCGGGTCCGAGAGGTTGGACTGGTCCGTGAGGCCCGCGGCGGTCAGCTGGGCGCGCGCGTCGGACACCGCCTCCGCAGGGGTCTGGCCGAAATGGGATATGTGCTCCCGCACGATCGCGTCGAAGGTGCTCTGCAGCACTTGCCGGCTGGACCCGGGAGTCGGGGAGGCATGTGGGGGAGGAACTGGGCAGGGAGAGTACTGGAAGGGTGAGTGAGGGCCGGGACGGACGGGAAAGGGGCAAATGCTGGCGGGTCAGATGGATGGGTGTAGTGCACATGAGGAGCGGCGGGAGTTGGGCGGAAGTGGGCGGCGAAGTGGCGGGGGGGAGAGTGAGAAGGGTGGCACTGTGTGGTGCACCTGGAAATAGGGGGTGTGTTCACACAGACAACAGCTCACATGAGCTGTTGTCTCTCACGCGGGCGGATGGGAGAGGGAGGTGGCGGATTTCGGGTGCGTCTCTTGCGGAAGATTTTTGGAAGAGCCGAATGGTTGTGGAACGGAACAATAGTGATATCAGTTTACAGTTGCCCATGTTCTAGTTTATCATAACGAAATTTTCGAAAAGACTGAGGATGGCCAATGATTATCAAGAAACTTCGTAAAGACCAAGTGCATACATATTTTACCTTTGTTCTGCATGTGAAGTAAATCTTGCTGCACGCAGCGAGGATCTGCGTTTGAGACCTAGTACACCAATGACAAACCAGGTTTCTACAATAGTACATATATGCATAAATTAATATATACTGTACACAGAAACGAGGCCTGCGCTACTGTAAGACTTCATCGATTCATGGACAGCAAGGTCAACAACCTTGATCGTCACCCGATTGACGGCCCATCCACGGCTGCGGTAATAGTACCTGTTCTTCCCCGCTCACGTTTTCAACAGGAACAAAGCGCAAGGTAAAAAACTATCACGTCTCACTAAAAAACCGTCCACCCCGCCTACAAACCCCCCGCGAAATCCCCTTGCCCCTTCACAATTCCAGCCACCTTAAATCTAAGCCCCATTTCCGTCTCACCCACCAACTGATCGTACTCGCCCTGCAGCCGTTGCAACTTTCTATCCACCACGTCATCGCTGTCCCCTACCCTCTCCCCCCTCTCTACGACGCCTTGAGCGACGTTGCGGAACCTCGCCGCCGCCCCTAGCCTCAGCAAAAACTCTCTCTGCGTCACGGGCCCGCGAAACTGCACCCCGTCCACGTCCACCCGCTCCACCGCCGTCCGCAAGTGCCCGAAATCCACATCCGCCGTCATATCCACCCGTCCGGGCTCCGCCAGCACGTCAACCTGTTGGTGCTTCTTAAAACCTCGCAGCGTATCCCCTACCCCCACCCCGCCGTAGTCCACCAACAGCGCCATCCCCCCGGACTCGCCCACAGCGCGCGACATTGTCTCCACCGTTCCGGCCGCCTCTGCCCCTACTTCTGTCACAGTTGCATCCACTGGGGCCGGGAACACGCCCAGCAGCGCGGACGCTGGCGTGGCGCTCGGCGCGAGCACGAATCGCAGCCGTGGGCTGTCGTCGCTTGCGTCCGGCGCGACGTCGACGAGACGCTCGCGCCACGGCGCGGTCGCGTGCTCGCGCTGGAAGACGTGCACGGGAAGCGCGTCGAGAAACTCGTGCGCGAGGAAGACGCGCGGGATGGAAGGGTCCGAGTGCTCCAGCGCGTGCTCGAGCGAGTCGAACCAGGAGACGGGGGGGCTGGCCGCGGCGCGGAGAGCGGCTTTCTGGGCGTCGCGGAGGAGGGGCGAGCGGTCGACGAGCGAAATAGAGCTGGGCGAGGAGCGCAGGGTGCGGAGCGCAGGGAGGGCAGAGGAGAGGAGGGAGGCGGTGCCGGGGCCGAGCTCGATAAGGGTGTAGGGCGGGGGGATGTGATGCGCGAGAAAGACGGCAAGCAGCTCGCCAAAATGGGCGGAGAGGGTGGGGGAGGTGTAGAAGTCGCCCTGGGGGCCGAAGATGGTTGGCGTTGTGGTGTAGTAGCCGTGGATTGGGTGGAGTAGGCATTGGCGCATGTACTCGGCGACGGTTAGGGGACCGTGGAAACGAATGCGACGGTGCAGCTCGAGAAGGAGGGGGGTGGGGGGTGTGGTGGTGAGCGGTTGGGTTGTAAGGGAACGAGAGCTGAGTTGGGGGAGGCGGAAGAGGCGAACGGATCGACGGATCATCTTGGAAGGCGAGATATCGAAAGTCGTTGCGGGAGGAGCAATCGGCAAAAAGGACGTCGATGGTGAGCGTTTTGGGGGTCTGGACAGGTTGAATACGTGGTGGCGCGATATGATGTGGTGCCGTCGAGGGGGATATGGTGCACCTACATACAGTAAATTACAGCACGATACCTCGCATTTATGGCCTGAAGCTACAAGATGGGCAATTTTTAATTCTGCACCAATACCTGGTGCGCGCTGATCTAGAATGAAAATCGTGAAATCGGTGCTTGTATTTGTTTTTTGTTGGGGACATTTTGCGAACCCGCGTTTCTTAGAAGAAGATGCTTTTGTAGGCGGCTGGCCCGCAAAAAGCAGCAGGGGAGAGGGGTCACCGCCACGTACCGCACAATGCGCATCATTCTCCACGGATGCTGAAATTCAATAATTTCACAGTGCAGGGAAGGGAGTATATCTCATGCACGGTCACATCAGGCTCCGCGACAATATTTTCCTCTCCCCAAGAACGGGCGCCATCAGTCGCGCACTTCCGCCACGACAAATTCACGGGATTCACCGCGTGGTCGCGCCCCAGTACTCTTCCGCCCAGCAACGCTCCACACGGCGGTCTCACATCGCTCTGTATTCACACACCTGACGCTAGCCTCTTGCAAGTCGCATCCACCCTCATACTGTCGGTTGCCGACATCGCCACAGAAGCCTTGCCTATATCGCAGCCTAGCCCTTCCTCGCTTCCTCCTTGTATTGCACAGGCAATCAGACAACGACATGGAATTCCCAGACCGCAGTGATAACAACGGAAACGACGGCTCAGGCCGTCGCCCGCAGAAGCTTGCGCAAGCCCCGGCGGCTGACGACGAGCAGAACAACGTTGTCGAGGCGTTCGGCGACGAGACCACAGACCTCCCCTTTCTCATCTTGTTGTTCATAGCGGCTCTGTTCGCAGAGCAGTTCAGACGTCAGTTTCACTGCACCTGTTGAGACTGCCAACGCAAGCCATCTGCGTGTAGATTATTTCCCCCTGCGGTTGCCCGTCCCTGGCCGTATGTCCACCGCAAAAGGGCTGGCGTGAGAGAGAGCACGTGTGCTCTCTCACGGACTCCTCCCTGGGGAAGTATCGGAGTATGTACATGTCGCCTCGCGGTAACACCACGCGTGGCCTCGGGCTTCGCAAATCTCACTCTTCTGTATAGTTTACCAAGTGCAATAAATGCATCGTCTGAGTCTTACCTCAAGTCGTGCGTATATGTTTTGATTTGCACATGCTTTACGGCCACGCCTGTTCCAATCATCGATTTTCCGCCTCCATACTTTCCCTTTCTTCTCCTCGCATCTTTTTGGATTCTGGTTCCCCGTCCAATCTTCCATTCTCAGCATGGTCCAGACTTCTCTTCTTACCACCTCGGTCCTCTCCTTCCGCTGTCACCGTTACATTCGCTTCGTCAGCAATTGCGACTGACGTATTCGGAGCAGCTGCACAGCTGCCCTCCATCTCTTGTACCGGTACTTCAAGACATTCATCGTCAACGTCTTCAGTGCTATCATCTTCAGAACGAACCCCGTTCGTGTCAACCTCAGCTTCCTGAATCTTACCTTCCAGCCTGAACCTCTCCCATTCTGCCTTATCTTCATACAACCCGCTCGCATGGCTCACATGCACGGTGCAGCTCAGATTTTGCGCCAAATCTGATACAACCAGTTCGCTTCCATCTGTGACTCGTAGTTCCTGAAGACTTTTTTCTAAATTCTGCTCGTACTCTTCTATTTCATCTGCCTCAAGCCCCACTCCGCATTCATAAAGGGTATTGTGATACTCTCCTGCAGTCAGGTTCACAGTTGGCTGTAGAACACACATTCTCTTCTGCAGCACCGTGTTGACCACTGTCCTCAATTTGGTCTTCTCCAAGTCAAGGATTAACTGCAGGTGACCCTTCGAGCAGACAAAGCATTTCTCGTTCTTCTTCCGTAATTGCTCCGGATACAATATCTTCATCACTCTTGCTCCAACCGGTGCCTTGCTGACAAACGTGGTCAGACAGTCGCGGACGTCGCCATTATTAGCCATAACTTTCAGAGCCTCTTGTACAATTAGTCCTCCAACGACCGCATTTGTTGTAGCGATTGCATGGACAATATTGCCTGCAATTCCTTTGACTGCAAAAGGGCTCTGCAGTGGCACCCCGTAGGCATGCGATCTGAGATTGGATGCAGCACAGACGAACATGAGCGCATCCTTGTCATCTTTGTCAAAGGTGAGATTCCCGACCTCCTCCTTTCGATGTGAGGCAATGTGTTTCAAGGTTTCTCTGAACACAACCGCGCTCTTCTCTTTTGTCCACGAAGTCTGGTCCGACAGGTTGGGTTGCTTAAATTCCTCTGAAAGATTGTCAACAACTCCACCAACATCGTACACAAGAGGCGGTGCGCGCTCTTGCCACAATTCTGTCATTTTTCTTTGCTTTTCAATATCGGTCACGAATACGAGCTCGCAGACCCGTTTAGCAAATTCCTCTGGATCTTCGCCCTCAGCGTATCGCACGCGCTTAGATTTTGGCGCAATGACGGTACCGTTGTTTTCAGTTGATTGCTCTGAGTGACCATTTTCATGACCGTTCGCCTGTGGGGCTTTTACAGGTTCTTTGCCCTTCTTCGCATCCTCCTTAGGCCCTGTCTTCTCCGTGTCTGGTATCGAAGCAGAGGCCTCGTTCGCCGCGCGGCCCGTATCCATGTCGAGATCCTTCAAGACGTTGCCGTCGTCATCCGGACCAAAGATGAGCTCGTAGAGAAACTTTGCCCAGACCACGCAGTGGACGGGTTTTTCTGGCGTGGATCTAATGGTACATACCGCGTACGACTTCGGCTGAGGCCGCGTAGTACAGTCGTAGCATTCAAACCCCTTTGCTACGACAGAGGTCTGTCCCACATACCCTGTGCTGCCGCTCTCGATCATGGGCACATCGGCTGCCAGACACATGCGGTTAACATGGCGGCGGGCCTCGAGGTTGTCGAGTGCGCAACAGACGATGTTGAAGCTCTTGAAGAAGCTGATGCCGAACTTGGTGTCCTTGATATTGCCGACGATACCCTCAATTTCAGTAGAAGGCACCATGGCGGTGATGGTGGCGGCCGCCTCGACAGCCTTTGATTTGCCGACGTGGTGCTTGCGGAAGAGAAACTGTCTATTGAGGTTGGAGACGTCGATGGTGTCGAGGTCGATGAGGGTGATGTGCGAGAAGCCTGTAGATGCGAGGTTCTTAACAAGCTCACAGCCGACTCCGCCAGCGCCAACAACCAGGATTCGAGAGCTGTGCACGCGTGCGGCTGTGCCGTCGCCATACACGGCATCTAGCGAGGCGGCGGAAGTGAACCCCAAGGTGGAAGGGACTTCAACGGCCGAAACCATGTTAGGTAAAGCAGAGGCTGTGTGGGTGTGGCCAGCACGGATACAGCTCGGAAGGGAGAGGAGTGAGACACGGGTGTCAGGACGGGAGGGTGTCTGAGTCAAGTCAAGGGCGGGTGGGGAGGCTGTCTCCGTGAAAGGGAGGGCGGGAGGAGTCGGCGGCGTCTAGACGGAGTGAGGGGTGCAGTCTGAGAGTGGCGCGAAATGATGTTGCCTTTTACCGGGGATCAAAAGCGATGATTGGATTTTCAGATATTTCTGAGGCCGTACCAATGAGCATCGTGTATCGGATCTGTGATGCTTGGACGCAATTGGGTGTCGCTTGAATTTCCGGTTGCGACTGGGCGTACCGCCCTGTGCTGTTTCATTTGTGAAGGGCGTTATATAGATGTACCCTTGGTACTGTACAGTGCATGCTCCGCTTCCATTTGGCATTTGTTGGGGTAGACCGGCTTTGGCGGACAACTTGTGTATTGTCTTGTTCGCCGCCCCCCTTCCCCCTTCTATTGTTGTCCGTCGGTGCGGCTTCCTCAACGCCGGCCCCCGATTGACTTTGCGCTCTGCCGCAAGGCTTCCGTCGTGTGGAAGCCATGTTTTTTCAAACTATTTCTTCCTAACTCGAAATTCCTCGATTTACCCTACCCCTGCACCAGTCCACCCACCCCCCCTCCCCCCCCTTCCCCTTCCTATACAGCACTACCAACTGCGGCGCCATGCCAGAGCGTATGTTTCAACCGCACAAGCACCTCCCTGGCAAGGAACCCACCCCTGCGCAGAGACAGGGTTTCGACGTAGCACCGTCAACCACCCTTCCTCCCTCTCAAACCACTCCATTCAAGTACACGCCGCTTCCAGATAAGCAGCCTCAAAATCCCTCGCCTTCCTTATCAAAACCCCCGACGGATCCGTTCGAGCTCACTAAGGTATTGGCCACCAGAGCCCGTACAACAAGCGCCAATGCACCATTCATTCCCAGGCGAGCTATTTCTCCACCGAGTGCCAAGTTTGCACGCTTCTCTCGCCCACGAACTGACGGTCAAACTCCCTTACCCCAAGCTACCCGCCAGATTACATCCCGCCGTTCTTCGAGCCCGGAGATCCTGACTGTAAACTACCAACTCGTCGACCTCAACAATCGAAATCCCCCCCCCGCGGGCGACTACTTCACGCAAATTGCGGAATCAGCTGACGAAGGCCCGCCCGTAGAGCATGTACCCAAGAGGCCACGCCGATCACTCCGACCAATGACCGCCATGGCAATCGCCAATCCCCAATTTCAGCCAGCTCCAAGGAGGAGCGTTTCAGAAGGTCATCAGACACGAAACTGCAAGGCGCACCCGTCTATAGTAGATACAACTCTCACCCAATCAAGGGAAAGGGATCAGCACACTTCGCCGACGCCGTTGGAACACGAAAAGCCGGCAAAACCAAAAGGTTCTCACCTTGACCGACAAAAAAAACCGGGGCGATCTAAAAACTTGGAGAAACCAACTATTGCAAAGCATGAGAACGAAGGAGTGCTACGTCTCCGAGAGCCAGGACTGCAAAGCAGGGGCGCAGGAAAAGGTACAGATCGTATACGCTCGAGCGCCACTTCAAAGCGACGAAGATTCGGTGAGCCGTCTGTCCTTTTGCCTTCCTCAAAGAAAGCCCTTAGTATACCGTCTGTACCTCAAGATCTGAAACGAGACGTTTCCCAGCGAAATGGGGAGGTCAAGTCCAAGCCGTCAAGCACTGCTCGTGCAGATGGGTTGAAAATACCGCGCCTAAGGAGCTTAGTAGCACCGCGAACTGGCAGCCCATCTCTGAGACAGGAAAGAAGTCTCGCGAGTGGAGAGGCACTTGAAGTAGAAGTTCACGGAAACAAAGCTGTGGAGCCCACCGAAAAGTCTACATCGCAGCCCAGCGTGGAAAACGTGGATGTCGACGAGCCGGCTGTGTCCCATGTGGAGGAAGCTGAATCACGACGGTCTACAGCGTATCAAAAGTTGCTGAAACCTATGGGTGGGAATTTGGAAAGAGCAAAAGCAACCGTTGAGAGATGCTTTGCAATGCAAATACCGTACTTCGAGCTTGCATTTTATGGTCTCGTAGACACGGAGTTGTGCAATATCATGGAAAGATGCACCAGGCGGAAACAGCCGCCAGAAAATGACAAGACAACGAGATACTTTAACTTGAGCTATAATCGTCTTACGAAGGTCCCACATGCAATTTGGGAATGGATAGTTTCTTTGAATGTGATTCGGTTGAATCTGCGACAAAATAGTCTCCAACTTATTCACATCTTTCCCAGCGACAGCGGTTTAATCATTTTGGATCTATCTCGAAACAAATTATCTTCGATCCCAGACGAAATTACTTCCTTGACGAGGTTACAATCTCTAAACGTCAAGAAGAACGCCATTTGTGAGCTTCCCAGTGGCTTCATGAACTTGAAGGCACTGAGGCACTTGGATGTGTCCGAAAATAGGCTAAGAACCTTACCACATGACTTTGCTCAGGAAGGATCGGTTTTGTCCTCGCTGGATGTGTCCGGCAACATGAATTTTCAAGAGTTCCCGGAATGCGCTGAGAAACTGAGCCAATTAGTTGATCTCTGTTTTGAGAAAACCCAACTTTACAACGCCAAAGAAGTTCGGAGTCGCCTCAAGGGGTCCCCAGTGGAGATTTTGCGCAATATCGCAGGCTGCAACTACCATGGAGATCCTGGCAATAACTTGAAATACAACGACATTGACGGAGTACAAACTATGGCGCTGTAGATGTGTTATCTGCTACATCGCTAAACGAGATATTAAACGTACGTTTTGTTGGCGAATCGCGGGCTCCAGTTTGATGATTAGTTGGCACATAGTGGACATAATACCAATGGTAGAGGCCGAAGCTTGGATTTGCCGACGAGGGTTGTCTGCGAAGCGAGCTCTGGTTACACTTTCTTTCTTGTAGGTAGAGTCGTTTCCAGTCGAGGGAATTTCCAATATGGATGCTCTATGTTGCTCCTCCCATCCACACATGCACGGAGGCTGTCAAGAGCTCGCGTTTTCACTGATGGTAGGATGAGTCAGAATGGCTACTGCGTGTCGTCGTTACGCCCCGCATTCCATCATATCGCTTTGCTCAGAAAACTCGATTCCTGAACAGGGAAGTTATCTGCAACTTGAAACATGGAAGTTGATGTCAACTTCCATGTTAATGCACTGTTTTCGCTTCGCATGTCAACATGCATTCAGTACCTTGGTGCCCAAAGTTGAATCGGGGAATGTAACATTCGCATGTACAGTGTGCTGGTTACGTGGGTGGAATTGTCAGCAGGGCGGGAAGGAAAACCCTCTAAATCCACTGATCCACATATCCTGTTTTCTACGGTATGGGTATGACTTCCCGCACATGAGCACTTCAAATTCACCCGATAGCCCCCCCCCCCCCCCCCCCCCCCTCTCATAGCTTCCGCCGCCAGATCACTTCCATCAATTTATTCGGCTCTCTGCTCCTCTGTCCCAGGCCGTGGTGTAGCAAAAAGCAACGGGCTCCAGCTACATTGTCCTTACTGATTTTTTCGATCGCAACCTGAACAAGTGACGAACGGCAACTCGACTCCGGCGCGTTTGATCGACCCTTCCCACCGCTTCGCAATATGCTTTGCTTTTCAATCCCCATGCTGACAACGCGACGACCGCAAATACGATTTAAGCGACCAACGCTGCTCTGTACCCACCCCAGTGAAGCGCCGCAATATTCAAATGTTACCCTCCCGACCACTTCTCGGTTGCCGATCCCCCCGGTTGTCTTCGTGCTAGGCGGACCAGGGAGCGGAAAGGGAACGCAATGTGAAATGTTGCTGCAAGATTTCGATTTTGTACAAGTCTGCGTCGGAGACCTGCTACGCCGCGAAGCTGCAGGCGAAGCACCAATAGGGAAAACGATCGCAGAGATTATGCAAAAGGGAGAAATTGTCCCTGGTGAAGTGACCATGACCTTACTCAATGACGAGCTTGCGAAATTCAGCGGATCATGCGATTGTGTGCTCATAGACGGCTTTCCACGGGCTATGGATCAGGCTCATGCCTTTGAAGAGCTGGTGGCAACTTGCGAATTTGTTCTGTACTTCAACTGTGATGAGAGCGTGATGATAAGACGACTTTCCAAGCGAGCTGAAACAAGTGGCCGAGCAGACGACAATGAAGAAGTGGTAAAACGACGCCTTCAAACATTTACAAAAACGACAATGCCTGTGATTGATTATTATCGACGACGTGGTCTGTTGCGCGAAGTGGACTCCGCTATTGGGACCCCAGACGAAGTTTACGAATACACAAAGGACTTATTCCGCACCATGCACTCGCCGTCGTAACACGACTTGGCTCTTCCTACTTAGAATACTATAATTTTCCTAAGAGTCGATAAGTGCTATTCGACTCCTGGCGTTGGCAATATGCCATATCCATTCCGATCTAACATGTTCATAAGAAGCAGTATGCGGGCATTGAAACAAACCTAGTCAGTCATTTGATATCATTTATTCCCAGATGTCGGCTCCTTCAACCCCAATTTGCACCACGAACGGTGTTTGCGCACCTTAACGTGAGGTGAAGCACAGTGCACCTTTTTGGCCCACAGCACACAGACACAAAACACCTCGTTAACGACTAAAGACAAATTATTCCTAGGTCAGGGCTGGTGGTCTGGACTTTCCCCGCCAGACGAGTCTGATCGGTGTTCCCTGAAATCCAAGGGACTTCCGGAACTGGCCTTCCATGTAGCGCCGGTAGTTTTCATGGAAAAGTCTGGGCTCATTCACAAACATCGCTATAGTTGGAGGCCGACTCGCGACTTGCGTGCAATAGTAAATGCGGCCTTGTCTCGCGGTTTTCGTCGCCGGTGGTTTATGCCATTCAACAGCCTCACGTAAAATCTCGTTCAACACAGCTGTGGACACCCTGCGTCGATGTTGTTCCAATGCTTCTTCGACGAGCCCAATAATCTTGCCGATGCGCTTTTTCTCCAAGACAGACACGAGTTCTACGGGCGCCCACGGTATACAGACGGTTCGGTCTTTGACATCTCCGACGGCATTAATGTAACTCCTGTTGTCCTTTTCTGTGATAAGGTCCCATTTGTTAGCCAGCACGATGCACCCCTTCCCTTCCGCGGCGATGCGATCTGCAATTTTCCTGTCCTGTTCGCTGGCCTCAGATACGTCGAGCATGAGCAACACCACATCCGCTCTCCGAATGGCCTTAAACGCTCGGTTGATCATGAAAAACTCAGTCCCAAAAGTAACCGCTGTCCTTCGTCGAATACCCGCGGTATCAATTAGCCGATATTGCTTGCCATTCACGGTGATTATTTCATCCACCGCATCGCGCGTCGTGCCCGGAATCTCGCTAACAATTGCCCTGTTTTCCCCTGTCATGAGATTAAGCAGGCTGCTCTTTCCGACATTCGGACGGCCCACAATCGCAATATTAACAACATCCTCCTCAATCTCTCCTTCAATAGGCGGCAATGGCTCGACAACCATATCCATCAGGTCTCCTGTGCCGCTGCCATGTATTGCGCTAACTGGGTACGGCTCGCCCAACCCAAGCGACCAAAACTCGGCCGCTTGCGAAAATCCCGCATCGCTCTCGCACTTGTTCACTGCGACAAACACGGACGACTTCTTGGTCTCGCGCCGTAGAAATGAGGCGAGCTCGAGATCAAGCGGATTCACGCCCTCCCTTCCGTCTACACAAAGCACCACAACGACGGCTTCGCGGATAGCGATGAGAGCCTGGGTGCGTATCTCTGGCATAAAGGTTGACTGGTCATCGAAGACCAAACCGCCCGTGTCGACAACCTGGAAGTTGCGCCCGTTCCATACTCCGGGGCGGTAAGTGCGATCGCGGGTGATGCCGACAACGTTTTCGACGATGGAGCCGTCATGGAACGCGCCGGCTATGCGGTTCACGAGCGTGGATTTACCGACGTTGGGGCGGCCCACGACGGCGACAATGGGGAGGGTGGAGGTGGCCCGCTTGACGGGAGGCGTATCAAGGTAGGCGTCTTCCTGGAGAGGGTCCTCGTGAAGTGCGGTGGTGGAGCGAGCGACGAATGGGAGGTGCAGGCTGGGGCGACGACGGGGAGAGTGTGGGCATGGCATTTGCGCCGTTCGGGAGGCAAGTCTTGAAGGGGTGAAAGAAGAAAAACATGATTTTGGGCATGGGGTAGCAAAGGCCGGCTGTAGGGGAGACATCGTTAGACACCGGCAGGTGGACGACGAAAAGTGAAGATCGTCTCTGTGAAAAGAGAACGGTCATCGGCGGGGACTACCCTTGGGTATTTCGCGTTGAGGAGGTGAAACGAATTCCCGAGATCTCGTGGGACCGATTGAGCGTCTCGGTGTCGGTCACTGATTGGTGCTGAATGACTTCCGCTCAATTTCTTCTGCATGATTGCAATTGAGCGAAGCGCTACCGCGGCAAGTGTCACCGCGGCAAGTGTCACCGCCTGTGCATGTGTGTTTCATGCCATCTCATGATCCGCCATGGTACTGTATGATACACTGTTAGCGTTTTCAAGTCTTGTCCCATCAACATGTACAAGGGCCGAGTCTTAAATCAGGCGTGATCGGTTTGAGTCGCCCTCCCATCTATCTTTCACATAGTGGTTCCCACGTCTTCTTCAGACGCTCTGGCTCACGCATCACGCATTTCAGCTTTCCTTCCCCCCCTTCAGTCCCCCCTCCCTCATTCACCATGAGCTCCTCCTCCGGGCCAGCGCAACCACCCCCCTTCCCGACCAAGTTGTTCCAACTCGTCAACGATGCGTCCATCGACGAGCTTGTGTCGTGGACCGATGACGCCGGCCGTTCCTTCACTGTGCACAAGCCGAGCGAATTCGGGCGCGACATCCTCCCCAAGTTTTTCAAGCACAACAACTTCTCCTCCTTTGTGCGCCAGCTCAACCAGTACGGCTTCCACAAGCAAGACCCGGACCGCTGGATGTTTGGTCACGAAAAGTTTCGCTGCGGAAGGCCAGACCTCCTTCGTGACATCACGCGGCGAAGACCAAAGTCCCAGGCGGCGAGCCAGGCTAGCCAGGCTGTCGTCGCCCCGGGGACGCTCGCGCATAAAGCCGTCGTTGAGCTTGGCAACTACGGTATTGAGGGAGAGGTAAAAGCACTAAAGAGGGATAAGGATCTGCTTATTAGGGAGCTTGTTGTTACGCGACAGGCGGAGGAGAAGCTCAAGAACAAATGCGACAACCTCGAAAACAGGATGGAAGACTTGGAAAGCAACTCAAAGCAAATGCAGGCCTTCATCATGCACTACTTTTCTCAGGTGCTCCAGCCATATTCGGAAGCCATGGCGTCTCGGAAAAGAAAACGCATTATGTCATCTTCCGAAGCGGAAATGACCGACGTTGTCACTGAAGCCAACAGTCCACCGCGTTCCACTTCCCAGCCTGTCTCACATGCCCCACAGCCGCCACCCGGAATGGATGCTCTGCGAGCCATGATGCAGCAAATGCAGATGAACATGTCCCGATCTCCTTCGACCCCACGCGTACGAAGTTCACAGCCAGGGCCCTCGCCGTCGTTGCTGAAAAGCTCGGAGGAGCCTTCCTCCCCTGCAAAGCTCGCTTTCGCTCCAGCAACCGTCCAAGAACTACACGAAGAACTGCCTCCGATTTCGCCTGCTGCAAATCCGGCTGTTCACAATCTGCTCTCTCCATACTCGTCTGCACGAATTAAGGGCGGCATATCGGTACGTGAACCTGGAGACTCTTCGATGTCCATTCACGATGAGGCCCTGGGGTTATTGGAAGAATTGCCTTCCACCCCAAATTCAAGTTTGACGATGGACGCCATCGAGTCTGCGCTTAACAATAGCGCCGACAAACCGAACGGACATTTGGACACGCCGGACTTTTGTGGCAAGGGTTTTGACGACGTGAATGGCGAAGTATCCGCAGCAACTAACGTCAACACTGGCTGCGACCGTGACGAAAAGGCCATCGAGGACTTCCTTGACTTGGATTCAGATGGCGCTCCATTGCCACCTCCACTTTCTCATTTGCCGGAGGGGACTGATATACACGCACTGGCGGAACGAATCGAAGGCTTTCAAGAGCGCACACAGAATCTCTAAGTCTATATGTACATAAAGGGACGAATATGTACATACTATTTGTCGCCCACTAGTTTCGTTGCAGAGACGACGATACCAAGATATCAGTACCTCGAATCCATGCACGATGATTGCCTGGTCTTCGCAAGAGTCATTGACCCATGCACCCAGTTATGAAACCGTGCCATTCGATTAGAAGCGTCGGTTGCCGCAACTTTTTCCTGAGTGCATCATGACGCGCGAGAGATACTGAAGGGATGGGCACTGGAAAGACTCGCTCGATCACCATAGACGGAATGGTTATCTAACGGAAAGGCTAACTTCGCCCCGTTCCTGAGGTCAACGCAGACGGATCCCGCAAGCAGACAATTTGAATCCTGGTTCATGACGTGAAAAGTGAATTTCACTAATTCCTAACTACGAATTTTGCCAGAGATTGTACTGTATTTTACACGGAAGGTCCAGCGCAGATCGCGAGCAGCGTTGCGGAAAGAGTTTACCTTCGAGAGGTAATTCACATCCTTGGTCAAGTACAACTCGCAGATCTTCCACGCCTCAATTGTCATCCACTCTTCAAAACTGCCCCAGATTTGCAACGAACACTCCAGAGGAAGCCTTTGGAGTCATCGTGTATATCTGTTGCAATGAGCGACAAACAAGTTGCCCCAACGCCCGTATTTTCAAGCTTCTTTAACAATATTCCCATCGGAGCTGATGAAGAGGAATTCAAAATACTCGCAGAGAGTAACGGTCTAGTCATCGAACGCATCGTTTCCCATGGACATACTTCTTCAGAATGGTATGATCAAGAAGAAACTGAATTTTGCTCCGTGTTGAAAGGAGCGGCCGACTTACTCTTCAAGGACTCGCTGGCAGTTAGAATGAATATAGGGGACTGGGTAATCATTCCACCTCACGCCAAACATAAAGTCACATGGACTATCGAATCTGAGCCGACCATATGGGTTGCTGTGAAATGGAAAAAATAAATGTTTGATATCTTCAAGATATCGAGTCTAGGATTACATACATCTTCAAGTTCCATTCTACGCACGGAAGGGAACTGTGGGGAGCCCCGTCAACAGTGGTTGTGATGGAGAACACTAGCACAGTCATGAACTCGCTTCCACCTGCTTATTTGTTTGCGCTTTGCCTGCATCCTCAACTGTTTTTGCCGGTTCCTTGGTATCAACCTTCTGAGGAGCGTTCGGAGCTACATTCTCTGAATCCTTTGGGGCCTCGTCAGGGGATGCCTGAATTGCCTCGCTCTCCGCATTGCGCTTGGCACCAGCCTTTTGTATCGCTTCTGCGGCAGAATCCTTACCTGGTGCAGCTTCTTGTGTTTTCGTCTCGTCTTCTTTGGGCCCTTCCCCATTCCCCTTGTTAGAATCGGCAGACGGCTTCTTAGATGAAAGCGATTCTGTCGACTTCTTCGTTTCCTCCCCACTCTTTTCATCTGCAACATCCCCGTCCTTCTCCTTGTCAGATTCATCCTTCCCGGCAGATGTAGACTTGCCGTTTGTCTTGTCTCCGTTTTCCGTCGGCATCGGATTGCCCTTGTCCCCTGTTTCATTTGTATCCTGTTCTTTCTCAACGTCGTTCTCTTTCCCCTTCGCGGAAGAGTTCTCCGATACCCGAGTTTTACTTTCTTTGACGAGCCGTTCTTTTTCCACGCGTTCCTGTTCCTGTCGCGCTTCTCTCTCTTCCCTCTCCTTTTTCGCGCGTTCCCACTCTTGCTGCTCCAAATCCGCGGGCTTAAGCCCAGCAGGCTTGAGGCGACTCGCAGGATCCGGCCCCGCCGCGCGGATAATATCCGCCAACGTCATCTTCTTTTTAGTGCGCTCACGTTCTTTCTTCTTCGCCTCGCGTCGCTTTTGCCTTTCAAGCTTTTCCAACCGCTGCTTCTCCGGGTCGACTTCCGCATCATCATCGTCGTCACCACTGCCCATGCGCGGAGGTGGTGGTGGAGGCGGTGGTGGAGGCGGGCCACCCACTGGTGGAGCCGGCGTGCCCGCCGTTGGGCCCGCGACTCCCGGGGTGTTCGGATACGCAAAGCCCGGCGGCGACGGGCCGTGGGACATCGAGGGTCTGCGCGAGCGCGGCAAGGCCTCCCAACGAGCATTTGGTGGGGTCCCCGCCGGTTGTCTTGGTGCTCTTCCCGGGGCAGGCGGGTCGAGGCGACCAATTTCCCTACGCAGGCTATCAAGTTCCGACTCGAGAGCCGCCAATTTGTCCGAGCGCATGGCTCTCGAATAGGCCTCTCGCTCCTTTGCGCGGCGGCGGCGGCGGGCTTCTAGCTCCGCTTCGAGCTCGGCGTCGGTCATGGTAGACACCTTTTTAGACAGGCGCGAGGACGCGGGCCGACGCCCAAGGCCGGAGGTGGAGGGCTTCATGGGTCTGGAGAGACGTGTTCTGCGTGGTCTGCGTGCAGAGCGCTTCTTGTAGGTGGAGGAGGACGCGTAGGCTTGGGCGGTGGAGGACATGGAGGTGCTCGTCTCGCGGATGTATGCGACAAAGTCGCGGACCAGGCGGTCGCCGGTGAGCTTCGCAGCAGCGGCGGCGGCTAGCAACGCCATAGCGTCGACCATAGTGGCGGGGAGATATCGCTGGAGCGATAGGTAGATCAGAGATCGGTGTGAAGGATGTGTGTGTATATGTAGATGAGGAGGGCAGGTGGCGGAGCAAGGCGAGGCAGAATAGGAGAAGCGGAACATTGGGGACATTTCGAGCGAGCCGTTCTGCGCCAGACAGCGCTGAGGGCGGGTGCTACGCGGCCCAATCAATGCTGCTGTTTCGGCGGGGTTCAAAGTTTCGAAATTTCCCCCGTTTTATTCCATTGATTTCGAGAGGGGTAGCTTAACGAATCCTTCACTGTCAATATCAGATCTGTAATGCTGCGCGAATTCACGAGAGTCGCCCAAATCGCCACGTGTCCACGGCGAAAAAGGGAGTGGGCCTCCGCGAGGTGCTTTTGGCCCGAGAGATAGCGACATCATCGTGCTCCTCTTTGTGCCCTATCTGATGCGCGCTGTTCAATGTTGCGCCTTTCATACACCATGCTTCTTTCATACAGTAACGTTGCAAAATGTTCACATGTCACAGTGAGAGGATACTTCCCAGAAGCGAAGTATGTGTGCTTCCCTTCTACGCCCCTTTTCGCCTGTGGAGTATCCCGAACCCCTACGGACAAAGCCATTTAAGACCTAGCTTTTTGAACTGTACAACGTAGGGTTCAAAAGCTAGCTTTGCCAGGAATTCTGGTTTCCTACGACGTAGGGAAACTGAATTCCCGGAAAAGCCGAAATGGTTGCCTCCTTAGGTCTTTTCAGGGCACCTTTCGCAGTTCAATTTGAAATCCAAGAATGCTTTTTTCTCTCGACACCCAAACGCATCTCTGATTAGGTCTCGCTGTGAACAGAAAAGGCCTAACCTTGTTCATGGGCCGCCATCAAAACGGACGCTTCCATTCGACATACATTCCTTCCTTGTTTCTTTTGTTTTTGCTATACTTGTCTTCTACTCCATGGAGACGTCGCTTGGTACAACCTCTTGTTCGTCGAATACTCGGAGGGGAGGGTAGAGACAGAAGGCGTAATGGGCGATAAAATCTTGTCCTGTATTTCTACGCTATCCCGTTACAGCGATTCCTAGTAGTATTGCTTTAGCGAAAAGCCATTGGTCACAAATACAAGAGACTTCCTTAGAGCTCCAGTTTACTCCTTTTGCTCATCCTACCGTAAAACGCATGAGGAAAGAGTTTGCAGAAAGCATCCCTGAACCGTTAATGGACTACTGTACTTTGCCTAAATCTACATTCAAAAACAAAATAGAGCAGGATCTTTTGTCTGCTTTAGCATCTTGCAGTGGATTGGTCTCAACATCCGTTCTCTGAGTATATGACACGAGCCTACTTAGGCTACCCATGTCTTGCACTTCTTCGATTCTGCCGTAAGCATTGGAAAGTATTAACGCCCAAGGCCCAGTTTCCGGCAGCTCCCACGATGACACTGAACGCCTCCAGTGAACTCTTCTCAAAGAGGTCGGGCTCAGCAGGGTTCTGCACTTTAACAGAAATAATAGCAACTCCATATGCTTGCACGACTGAAGCAACACAATGCCAAATGTAGTCCTATTAGCAGTAGATCTAGAAATAGACTTTGTGAACTATGTGAATACCTGGGGCACAATGATTTTATGTGTTCTGCTTCACATGTTGCTCAACAGAAAGGATTGCATCATGAGATCTATAGCTAAGATGCATGTGTTACGCATCGACCTGAACAGTAATCGAACAGTTTTCGGGTGGTGTTTTCAGAAATATATATGGAGAGTCGGCTGCGAAAGTGTTCAAGCATATAGCGGCGTTCTCAAACCAACTTTTTGTGCCAAGAACAAGGTTATTGAGGTACGGTATGAGGGGGGTTGCTGGGACCCTGCCACACTGTACATTTTTTCGAAATGATTTTTTAATTGGCAAAGGCGCCACTCCTGGCCCATGAGAGCTCAGCTCACCTGATCTGCTGTCCGAAGTCGTAGTTAAACGACTGGAGGATTTCCAACTAGCGATGCAGAGGTGTGCCACACCAACTCTGTGTTGAAGGCTCTTCCCAAGATAGTCCATTCTTTCAATGCAGGGCGGTTTCATTTTATCAACCCCGGTTCTTATTGAATCTCCCTCCTGGCTACATGGCCGAACTCAGCAGAGGGTATTGCCCCGTTTCGCAGCCGTTAATTTGAGGAAACGATGTCGCAGCCCGGTGGCACTTGCAAGCAATGCACTCATTTCCCAGTCAATCCCACTGCTCCTTGCAGAAGAAGACCTTACACGCCAAATCTTTATGGGTGGAATTGGTATCATTATGTCTGGTATTGTTGGTGTCTTCATTGTGTCACTGCTTATCCGCAACAACATGGAAGCGGTAAGTAATCAGCGTAATACTTTGCCACGCGGGTCGGACAGATTTGCAGCAACAGTATCGAGTTGTCTGACTCGGTTATTTATTTCAATTCTTCACCGTTATGTGTTGCAATATTCAACATGGATATCATTGCCTGCAGATTGAGCGAGAGATACAGCAAAGAGACATGAACGACTGAGTTCCTGGACAAAGTAACGGTGCTTTACGTTGGGTAGTGGCATGCACACAAAGCAGACGTGGGCACTTGCCTTGGAGTATACATAATATACGCTTATGCGGCGAGCGAGCTCAAGGATATCTAAATAAGCACCTAGGAAAGAACGAAAGTCCCTACTTTGCTGTTAACTTTGCCAATACCTTCTTCGCGAGGGCATCTTCAAGCAAGCCATGTCTCAGCATCCACGTCTCCGCCATGGTTGAGTTTTTCCCCCTTTTGCGTTTTTCGTGATACATACTTTGATAGAACAGCCGTGCAGGATCGTTTTCCAGGGGTACCTCCCTCCGCTGACCCGGTTTCTCAAATTTCTTCGAAGGCGCATCATCTTGCCTTTTGACTTTTCGTGAAGTATTGGTAGTAGTCTTTGACGCTGCCTTTCGCGTCGTAGTTGTAGTTTTGCGGCGCTTCGTCGCAGGTGTCTTTTTTGTCGGCGCTCTTCTCTTCCTGGGTTCCGTTTTCCTTGGGATACGTGCGGCAAGAGGAATGTCATCATCCGAGTCTGATTCCCCGTCTGCGGCAAGCCCCTCGTCCTTGGCTTTAGCTTTCAGTTCGCTCTTCGGTTGGGCAGTGAAAGGGCGTTTATGCAACCTGCTAAAAGTACCAGTGCTCGCTGATAAAGGAACATCATCATCACTATCATCGTCCGGGTCGTCTTCGTAGGCTGCGTCTCCACTCGAATCTGGTTGACTTCCAAGAGCAGGATCATTGCAGAGTTCGGCATCAAGCGGTTGATTGTCATCGTAGTCTTCATCGTCACGGTCTTCATCATCCTCACCGTCATCACTGACCTCGTCACCATCAACTTGGTCTTCAGCGTCTTGCGGTCCTTCTACACTTTCTTGCTCATTGTCCTCGTCATCATTCTCGTCGTCATCGCTTTCAGAATCTCCCTCTTCAATCTCAATCTCGACTTCCTCATTCTCGTCTTCGTCGTCCGCGTCGACCTCCATTTTCGTTTCGAAAGTCTCATCAGAGTTATTCGACGACCCGTGAATTTGGTCCAAAGGGACATCACTGTCGCTGTCAGAGTCCATGATGAGAACGCTAGACGAACGCTAGACGAATTCGAATGTGGTTTTCGCCGGGGAGAGAAGTGCGTAGCCGCCTCGTTGGTGGTTGGAAGGGGCAGATACTAATTGTATTGTCTGGGCGAGGAAGCAATTTCCGTCCTCACGGAGTGTAGCGTTTCCATGGAGCATTCGGTCTTTCGTGACAATTTTTTTGAAGCACCGAAACTTATTCATAAATTTCGGATTTTCCAATTTCCTCTCTTTGCATCAATATGCAATATTCAATATAGCGTTGCTGCCATTCCGCATGCCTGCAAGCTACCCTAGGGTATTCATTTCATTTGCATAGTGTACAGAGTAGTTGCCATTTACATGGATGGAAACAATTCCATAGGCATAGCGATTCGAGGCCGTCGGTGGTCTGCTGTCCGGGCCGCTCTCGTACAGGTCCCCCGCTTAAGTAGCGCCTGCAGTGCGCGCACTCAACGCACTCAACGGCGAGCGGCATGCCTCTCTCTTGCCCACCCACCCGCTAACTTCTGCACACTTTCGACCAGCCACTCTCTTCTGTGGGTACTACTTTAGGGGTCCTTGTCTACTTAACGAGCGGCCCTGTGCGTGTAGAGTGGTTTCCTACTCGCAAAAGCCCCTGATGTCAGTTAATGTTGAATGTCAACATTAAAATCAGAATTCGTTTCAAGCAGTACACATAAATGGCTACCAATTGTGTTCGCTGATTGCTCAGTTTTAGTCGCGCCCTGTACGCGTCAGTCTCCACTGATGTCAATCCAACAATAATCATCTATCCCGTCTTTGCATCGTTTGAGAGTCTTTGCAAAAAGACCTAAAACTTTACTGGTTGTGTTGCGCACTCTTGAGAGTGCCGTACTACTAAAAAGGTGCGCTATAATTTAGCGCACTGCTCGCCTTGCGCTTAGACACAATCGAAACATCATTCGCAGGGTCTCGGAAATTAACTTTTTTTCGCCGTTCCGACCACCGTCAACCCCCACCTCACCTCCTCCTCCGTCGCCCTCATTTGATTTCCTTGCCAAACTGTCTTGTTCCTCCAACCTACTCCTCTCAACGCAACACCTGTAACGATGGGCAAGGGCGGATTAAACCGGGTCCTGCTGACGAAAGCCGACCTAACGTCTGCAGATGTAGCTCACCTACCTCCCTCGGACGATCGCGCGGTTCACATCCGAACAATTCTGCACAACCCCAGCGGACGCACCTCACCATCTTCTCCTCCGCTAACGTTACGCATCGCAGTCGAGGGCAAATTCCTGCACGAGGAAGCGCCAGCCACAATCCTCGATGACGGTTCCGTGCGACTGGAGTTCCCCTCCAAAGGGCGGCAGCCAGTGTCGGGTCCCCCACCCGTGATCCTACTCGTCGCCATGCAGCGCCCCAAGGTAATGCAGCGCCTGCTGGGTTTTGCGGCGGCGCTGGGCGTCGCAGGCGTCATCATCACAGCGGCGGAGAAGGTGGAGAAGACGTACTGGGACTGCAAGCTGTTCCGCGACGGCGCAGGGGACGGCGGCAAGCCGGGCGCGACCGCGGACGGTGTGCAGGCAGACGCAGAGGGGGAGGTAGTGCTACCAGGGCGTGCGCGGGTGGCCGGGCAGCACGCGGAGCGGGACGCAAGCGAGGCGGCGCGCGCGGCGGCGTGCACGCGCGCGCGGCGCGTAGAGGGGCTGGACGGCGTACGGCGGCGGCTGGCGGAGGGCGTGGTGCAGGGCGGCGTGGACGCGGAGCTGCCGTGGGTGGTGCTGCAGCGCGGGGGGCTGCGGCGCGTGCTGCGCGACGCGGACGAGACGTGGGGCGTGGCGCACGCGCGGCGCGCGCGGTGGAGCCGCGTCGTGGCGCACGCGAGGGGCGGCGGGAAGTGCGTGACCGAGGCGGTAAACGGGGACGGCGCCGTCGTCGCTATCGGGCCCGAGGGCGGGTGGACAGAGGACGAGGTCGCCATGATGACGGCAGAGGGCTTCCAGGTCGTCGCGATGGGCGAGAGGGTGCTGAGGAGCGAGACGGCGGCCGTGGTGGCGCTGGGGCTGGCGCATGAGGGCCTGCGGCTGGCGGCGAAGAGGCGGGAGGGCGAATAGGCGAGAAGAGTTTTCTGGCCTTTTCTTTTGTTTTTGATCCCGACTCGTTTGTGCTGGTTGCAAGCTGCTCGACGCGGTCCATCCTCGCACACACAACCGCTCCCCTCGCACCCTTTCCCATCCGCTTCTGCTTCGATCCGCAGGATGCCGCGCTCTGTGTGGAAGGGCCCTTTCGCGGATGCGCTGCAGAAACTGCCGCACATCTGGCGGGGCACGCGGCGCAGCATGATCCTTCCCGAGTGGGTGGGGCGACAGATCGAGGTGCACAACGGGCGCAAGTGGATGCCCATATCCATCGTCGAAGACATGATCGGCCACAAGTTAGGCGAGTTTGCCTTCACCAGAACGAAGAGCCCACACAAGGGCGCTCTGCTCAGGGCCAAGGCCGCCAGGAAGAAGAAGAAGGTGTGAGCGATACGTCGCCCGTTGATGCTTCGCCCCACCTGCGAATCGTCGAGTTTACATCTTCCCATTCTTGCGGTGGAGGAAGACTTTGCCAGAGCACTATGTAAATACTAGCTACTTCACTCCTAACTTAGACCGGCTCCCACTTGGGCTTTCCGTCCTTATCCACGAGTGCTGCCCTGACCCCCTCTTCAAAATCGGGCGCCGCGCACAACTGCGACTCTACCTCTAGTTCCCTATCCATAGCCTCTCTAACCCCCTCCCCTCTAGACTCATACGCCATCCTCATCACCCTAAAAGTTTCCCTAATTGCCTTTGGCGCTCCGGCATTGAGAGCCTTCAGCGCCTCTTTCGCCCACTCCCCCTCCCTCGCCTGCAGCCGCTCTAAGACCTCGTCCACCCCTGCGGCCGAAAACACCTCATCCACGCCTCTCCGCATATCGCTACTTGCCTGCGCGATCTCACCCTTCTCTCCTAACAAGGCTTCCTCTTCCCCGCCCTTAAGCATGCGCGCGGGGCCAAACTCACCGTCGGCCAAGCCGTCCGCCTGCCACCCGTCCTTGATCGCGCCATCCGCCAATCCGAGCGCCAGTGCGTCTCTGGCGTGCACGCGCGCGCCCGTGAGCGCGAGGTACATGCCGACGCAGCCGGGCAGGCGCGCGTAGAAGCGCGTGGCGCCGCAGTCCGGGATGATGCCGATGCGCGCCTCGGGCATGGCCATGAAGAAGCGGGGGCCCACTAGGCGCACCGCGCACGCCTGGAACAGCCCCGCGCCGGCGCCGAGCGCAAGCCCCTCGCCGACGGCCACGGTCAGGCGATGGTGGCGGTCGAGGGCCGCCCAGCGCGCCAGCAGGTCGTACTCGGTTGCGAGGATGGCGCGCGCGGCCGCGCGCCGCGCTGCGGAGCGTGGCGCGTGTGCTAGGATCTCGCCACGCAGAGAGCGCACGTCGCCGCCCGCCGAGAAGGCGCGGCCGGATGCGCGGAGGACTAGGTAGAGCGGGGCGTCGTGCGTGGACAGGCGGTCTAGCACGTGGTGCAGGCCGTGGAAGGTTGCCGGAAGAAGCGCGTTCAGCGCAGACGGGCGAGATAGCGTAATGTCGATCACGGGCGGCGCGGCCACGGCCGTCAGGCCGCCGGCCGAGAGCAGCTCGGCGTCGAACGTGATGGGCATTTCAGGGCGGGGATCGGATATCGAGTGGAGTGGGGTCGGGACTGATCCGGTTAAAGGGCTGTTTTGCCTATTCTGTTCAATCTAATTTTGTATGCAAGCCTTGACGCGTACTGCACCTCCGCCTCGCCTTCGACATCTTGGGGCCGCTCCCCAAGACGAAGACAGGAAAACGATTCCTGCTTGTGATTACGGACTGCTTCAGTAAGCTGACACAAGTCGTTGCGCTCCGCACGATAACCGCGTACACGGTTGCAGTTGCGTTCTGCCACTTCGTGAGTGTTCAAGTACGTCATCCCTCGCACGTTGCTTTC